ATGGACCCATAAAAGGTTTTTTCGCCAGTTTTAAGAAGGGTAGGTTAGTCTTTTCCTATCCTTTCTAAGCCTAACCCACAACTTTTTTTCTTACCCAATTAAGGACTAAACGGTGTTAAAATATTATTTTATGTTTTTTAACACTCAAAGGCTTAGAAAAGTTAGGGTTTTCAAGCGTTCTTCAAATTTTATCGATTTCACCAAAGACTTTGTTCTTTCCAGGTATGTAAGGTTATCATAGTGTTAGACTATTTCGTCCTCACGCCCTACATCTACTTTCAAATCAGTAAAAGAGTAATCTAGGGTTCTATCTTTAGATTTTAGTATTCTTGAGATGAGTTGACATTGAATTTCTGAATTCTTGAGTTGTTGATATTGAATTCCTATTCCAAATCATTGAATTGTCATACAATGTGAATTGTAATTATTGAATTGACTGACTATTTTTCAGCATAATTCAGGTATATTACATACTTGTACATTCAACGTACTGATGTCATTCAACCTGCATCTTTTAATGATGCAGATACAAGTTCTTATGATCGTCAGACTCCGTTGAGATCATTTCATCTGCTCGTCATCTTTTGAGTAAGACCTCCTTGCTTCTGGAGGACTATATTTTTATGAGTTGTTAGTAGTAGTCCCTTGAGGAGTCGTGTGCCTTGTCCCGACACTTATCTTTGTATAGTAGAGGCTTCATAGATAGTCAGTTTTGGAGAATCTTTCAGTTTCAGATGTTTTATTTAAACTAATGGTTCATACTCAGTATATTCAGCAAATTTTTGAGATTTAGTAAGCTATTTTTAAACATTTCTTTCAATTTGATGTTTATGTATGCTTGAGTTAGTCTTCCGCTTGTAGTCAGCCAAAATGAGGGTTCGTTTGTGGACCAACAATGGTTCTCGAGTGTCGGCCACATCCAGGGGGTAGGCTCGGGTCGTGACAATAGGGTTTGAGCATGTGTTTCTCCAGAATTATGGTTCAACACATTATCATCAACCCATTGCCTAATAAATCTACAAACTTGTCTGTGCAACAGATTCCACTCTTCATCTATTTTACTATAATGCTTTACAGTGGTAAATTCTAGGTGATAAATATTCTTGACATATAGTAGACCTTTCATTTTTCAATTCCAAATGACATAATAAACACCATTCAAATTACTATTCTACTTGTGTTAGCTTCCATTGTTTCTCCCAAAAAATATAGCTATTGCGAAGTAATGCTCTCATACAAGTTTGTTGGGAAAACACAGACTAACACAAAAATATATATGGTCAAAATAATGAAAATAAAATGAAAAAATAATGACACCAAAACTTTTACGCGAAAACCCTTCTAAATAAGAAAAAACCACAGGCCAAAAGAAGCAACTGATGTCACGATAGTAAGGAATTTTTATACTGTATAGTCATGAGTATAATACTCAAAGTGACTACTATACAATCAAAAGAAATAACACTCTTTTAATTTACCACCTTACTAAAAATATATTTTTAGCTCGCACTTTATTTTTATTCAGATACTATTTTCTATTTTTCTTGTATATTCTATGAAAGTCTCACTTTGTTCTCAAAATGTTTTTTTTTTCTCTTTATCTTGGCGTGTTCTACAAATGAGCAAGAATACTCTATTTATAGGAAGAAAGAACCTTGCCTATGTCATTGATTACATAGACAAATGTAACAAATTTCAACAAAAGATGGTAAATCTTACACCAACTCTATCAATATTTTCAACTTTTACATTAATTTCCTTTTCTCTATTTGCTGCCTCAATTTCTCTTTAATTTATCTATAATGGATATGGATCCTATATAATGAACTTTACCTCACATGTTATCTGTTGAGAAGTCATACCTATGGGCTATGAGGTTTACTATATAGTAATCTGGTCTCCAGGTAGGGATGGACCTAGGTGGACCCTAGGGGTACTCGAACTCCCTCGTAAAAAAATTACACTGTATATATAACGTCAAATTCTAATTTTATGCGTATATATATTAAAATGAACCCCCCGAAAATAAAGTATAGACTTGACTCAGTGGAAGTGGTTCAACAAATGTCCCTAGGCCACTGGTTTGAATCTCATGGACAACATTTTTTTCCCTCTTTTTAATACTTTGGAAAATGAAACTTTTGGGCTTAGACTTTCTTCTTTCTTTTCATTACTTTTTCCTTTTGTTCCGTTTCTTCTTTTTAATTCGTTTTTGTTTAAATTTTATAGGCACATTCTTTTTATTTTTATTCTTTATTCTTTTTATATCTATTATTCATTTTGTTTCACCGTCACTCTTTTTTCATATACTAACTTGAATAACTCTTTTAAAAAATGATGAATTATATTTAACTTGAAATGGGGATAGAAATATAATTTATTTTTTAAAATAAAAAAGGTAAACTAGATGTAATTGAATGAAGAAACTTAAATATCGTCAACATCTTTTTAAAAATATTAATTTATAGAATTCATGAAATTTCTTTTATATTTTTAATTCTATTTTAGAGAGATGTAAACTAAACATATTTGATTTACTTGTTATTTTCCCTTTTTACAAATTATGACTAACCTACTAAATTGAACTAAAAAAATTGACGATGCTATTTATTTATCTTCTGAATATGCATTATAATATTAGTAACTATATTCTTACACACTTTTAGTGAATCTTGACGATTTTCATAGTAATATGTGATTGAATGGATGTTAATTTAAAAGTTTTAAAAATAAAGTAAAACATTACAAAATTAAAGTATAAAAAACACAAGAAATTTTAAGAATGCTCGATAGAGCATGATAAAAGTAGAAAGAAATGTTTAATATGGTATGATAAGTAAGTTAAATTTAGCATGATAAGGTAAATATCTTTCTTCCCCGTCTTGCTCTATTTTTCATCATTTAATTTTCACGTGTTTTAGGAATTAACTTATGTAATACAGTCGATCCACTAAAATTCTTATGAATGTATCTTTGTCCTCAATATCTTTGATTAGTTTAGTCTTTACTTTTATGAACCAATGAAAAATCTATGGTTCTTGTACAAGGAGCATGCCGAGGGGCTACTACGCTCACTGTGCACTTGCATTACCACTTGAACTTCTTCTTTATACTTCGAACCCCCTAAACAAAAATTCTGGATCTACCACTATCTCCTGTTAAGCTATATTCTACCATTATTGTGCCACTCTAAATTAGTAACATACTTCCATCCAGCAAACATACTAATAAAATTTATTTTTTATTTTAGTGTCAAGTAAGATAATCAAGCTCACCTTTTCTTCAAGGATTTTAATTAATTTGTTTTCAACTATATTCTAATAAAGTTTATAAGCTACTTCTAATAATAGAAAACGCCCACTTTTGAAAAAAAAAAAACACACACACACACATCGCCAAACAATTATGATGTAGTCAAGGGAAAAAACACTCCAGCATGGGAAGAAGCCGCAAAATCTAGAATATAATTAGTCTATTTTATATGTGATAATTGGAGAAAAATACTAAATAATAATTTTATCTATTATAAAAAACAAAAAAAATTAACTCACTATTATTAAAGACCTTCATGCATACCTTTTCATAAACTTTTTTTTTTTTAAAAGATGGTTGTTTTTGAGAAAAAGATCTAAAATATATCCGAATTTTAATCGAAATTGTTGTAAAAATATCGAACTTTGAAAATGACTTTTTATTCCCCTGCACTATTTAATAGTGTATTTTAAAGGTATAGATGTATCCACGTGGACATCATAAATATTGCATCATTATAAATAATAACGTATCCACGTGGACACATATATTCCTTTAAAATACACTATTAAATAGTGCATGGATAAAATGTTTCTCCATAAAATTTGATATCGTAACATCAATTTCGATCAAAGTTAAAATATTTGAGATCTTTTTTTTTTCTTTCGAAAAAAAACAAGAGAGTTGTAATTAATTACAAATAAATAAATTGATGCCCTCTATGGATGGCACGTATAGGACAACTGTGGAGAATTTGGAAGAGTGGAAGAATGAGTCACCGAAATGAATGTGAACAAAATCCCCATTTCCATTTTTTTTTTTCCATAAAGAAGAATATAGGAGGCAATTCAGTTCATCAATTTTTAGTAGGTATGTATGATGTTCTTTTCCTTGCTCGTGTATTTTAGTCTTTACATGGAAGTGATCATGCAAATTCAAATTAAAGGGATGAAATGATGCCTTGAACTTGAATTGAGTTAATTTTAGACCATTTTAAATATCCTTAAAATAAAAAGAACACGACTCATTTTAAACCATGTATAATAAAAAGAATATGAGTCTTTGTGAAAATCTATCAATTCATTATCTTTGAACAACATTTGCTTTGTGTATAGGCACAAATGTAATACTACGATGATCATTTAGGTGTGAGTCAAAATCACTCCATATAGTCATGAGTTGGTTAATAAGTCCCTTACTTTATTAATTGAGTTTATTTTGACTTTCTTAAATTTCATTTTAAAAGTGGGTTGATATGAGTAGAACAAAAATAATTTTAGTTTTTAGCGGCAATAAATATGTACATTAACAAATAGTGCTAAAGTATTTATCGACATTAGTTACTGGGACATCAAATTCAATGTCACTATCGGTTTTAGCGTCAAACTATTAAAATATAATGTCATTACTAATTGCATCTTTAAAAAAAATTATATCGACTCCTGGGTGTACGCATAGGGGCGATGCTAGGGTCTGTGCTATGGGTTAGGCCTAACCAATAGATCTAATTCAAATTTTGTATTTGGCGTAAGAAATTTGTTTAATATGTATAAATTATTTAATTCAGATACCAATAACGAAAAAAGAAGTAAAATTTCCAACTTTCGCATTTTTTGAGCTTTGGAGATGTCAAATACATCAGAAATGAACTTGTGAATCAAACATATGAATTATTATTTTTACAAGTCTCAGAAAATTTAGGTGATATTCGAATGTGATTGTTTTTCAGTTGTGCAGAGTAGAAAAACATGGCTTCGAGACAAGAAGATAAGAAAGAAAGAGCTGAAGCAGCTGCACGGAAAGCAGCCGATGAACTTCATGATTTAAATAAGGGCACGAATGAGAAAGGTAGCATGATGCACGAAGAAACTCCATTTGATCAAGGGCATGATCAGAGAAGTAGTGGAGTAATCGGAAATATATTTAAGTCTGTTAAAGAGACTATCACTGGGAAGGCTCATGACACATCCGAGACGACATTAAGAGAAAGTGAGGATGTCGCAGCACACAAGATTCATGGAGCTTCCGAGACTACGGATCAAAAAGCTAGTGAGGCTGGACAAAAATTGGGAGAGGATTCTGCTGCAGAAAAGGAAAAACAAGCCGAAAATTCCACAATGGAAAAAAAAGCAACTGAATACAAAGACTGTGCAAAGGATTCGCTAATAGGACAGTCGACTAAACGTAGAAATAAAGGTGAGGAGACGAAAGAAGCTACCATGAAAAAAGCCAATGACTTGAGGGATTATGGGGCAGAAAAGGCAGGAGAGGACAAGGATTCAGTAGTTGATCATAAAGCAAAGCAAATGGAACACACAATGATGGAGAAAGCACTCAATATAGCAGAGAAGGCTGAAGAGGGGAAGGATACTACCTTTGGTAAGATCTCTGAGCTAAAAGATTCAGCTGCTGATGCTGCAAGAAGAGCTGTTGGTTTCTTCACAGGGACAAAAGAAGATGCCGCTGATGCAGCACTGAGAAATGAGGAACCAAAGGTGAGATCTTAGTGGTTTCTGCTTCGTGGTTTATTCTCCGTTAGCTTTCATGTTAGTTCTAAACTCTTTTAGAATTTGAATTTGGAACCACACCGCTTAAGTGATGACAAAGTACTCCCGCGTCCCTAATGTAGTTTGACTCGGCACGGAGTTTAAGAATGAAAGGAAGACTTTTAAAACTTGTAGTCCAAAATAAATGATAGAAATTTGTGTGACTGTAAATCATGTTATTAATGATAAAATAGACATTTTATAGTTAAATTGTTACTTAATATAGAAATGTGTCTTTATCTTTTTTGGACTGACTAAAAAAAAAAGTAAGTCACCTAAATTGAGACAGAGGAAGTAGTTTATATGCATCGTATAACACACGTGAGACTTGGAAATGATGGAGCTCCTTATATTTCCAAATCTGTAGTTGATAATGCACAAGTCTCCTTGCTTTCTATGTGCATCGACCATTTGCGTTGCTGCAGAGGGAGGAATATGTTTTCATCTCTAGAAATTTGAAGAAAATAATGCAGTATGACCAGCTTTAGTACATGAAACAATCTTTCTACTGTGCAGGAACTATATGAAGAAACAGAGGACAATGCAAGGAAAATGATGCAAGAACTTAAGCTCAGCGAAGAAGGAATCCAGGATGAGGCTCGACAGAGCGCTGAGGCAGATAGAGAAACAGCAGCTGCTAGGTGACACTATTTTCCTTATGTCTGGTTAATATTAATGTTTATGCAACGATATAATGACATTGGGTGTTAAACCGAGTTTTGGATTTTGCACCCATGGTTTGAGCCACAACAATAATGGATTTAGCTGGACTTGTTGAATCCCTGCCAGCTCTAATCATTTGTGTTGAAATCATACTACTAAGTCACTATTTTGTTTCGGATGTTGAACAGGGGAAGCGCAGCAAAAAAGAATATCTATAGTGCAATGGGGAATCTAACAGGTTCCATCAAGGAGAAGTTAACAATGCCAAGTGACATAGTAGAGGAGACGCGTGCAGCACGTGAGCTGGGTGGACCGAAGAGGGGTATGAGGACGGATGTTGATGAGAGGAGTCCTGTTGCTCGATCAGGTTTCGTTTTCACAACAGCAAAGGATGACACAAGTTCATAGACAAAGATTTTAGCTTGCAGAATGTAATTAATGTCGACTTGTTCGTTTATCTCTTGTACTTAGAACAATAACAATAAAGACTTACCGTACGGCTATGAAAGCATAAACGTGATATTTTCAGGTAAAGATCTTACAAAGCTTAACTTTTTATGTATATGTACTGATTCCTAAATAGTGAGTCTTTATTAAGTATTTTCTCTTATTTAAAGGAAAAGAAGCGAAGTGATGGTTTTGGGTTGAAAAGTATCAATTTCTATGTAAGCCGTTTTTTTGGTTTCTTTATGTAATATTGCAACCTTAATATGAACAATGACTATGCAGTAATGGTAGGAATTGAAGTATAACTATGATCATTGTTATGGTAAGGGTTAATTTACATACTATTAAAGTTAGTGCTACTTAGTTATTTCAATCATTAGAAATTATATAGTACTTCCCCTGTCTCTAATTACGTGTCCACTTTTGAATTGACACACATATTAAGAAAACAATAATTGACATAGTAAGTTTATCATTTTATCTCTATTAATTATAAAGTGGGTGAATTAAAACATTAAGATTTTGAAGAACATTAAAATTTTGAAGAAATTCTATCTTTTTCAAAGTAATTAATTGAGTGTATAATAGGTAAAAAAAAAGTTCTTTGTTGATTCGTCAAAATGAACAAATAATTAGGGACAATTAAAACAAGAAATGTGAACTGGAGGCTGGTTTCACAGTTAATTGTATTATGCTTTATTGAGGGTTAAGTACAATGGTCGTATAATTTACTGGATTTGGATGTTTCTTATATTATCACATTATAAGTTATGTTTTGATAAATTGAGATATTTAATTAAATATTAAGTGTATTGTATTTTATGAATTTCATTAAAGTTATATTAATTGGAGGAATTAAGACTTACTCTAGGATTGAAATTTTAAGAAATAGGAGATTTGACATATTAATTGATCTCAAGATTTGAAAATTGATTACAAATTTGAGTGGGTTATTGAGTTAAGATTAGATATATAGTAATATGGGTGTCTACAAACTCATTTTCTTAAATATATACTAGGTAAATTATCCGTGCTTCGCACGGGATTGAACTATTTTATTAAGCTTACATATGATCTTTCGATAATATTCATATTTTTGATACATACACTACATTGTCAAGAACATTTTATGTTAAGGTAAAGCGTTCCTCTGAAATCTTAAATGCTATATTTTTTAATTTTTGTTTTTGTTACAGAAAATTATGAGTCATACAGAGATTTTAAGTATAAAAAAGAAGTCTAAGAAAATCTCAATAGAAATTGTTGGTCAGAAGTAATGAAATTTGCTAAATTCAAAAAAGTTATAAAGAACAACATTAGACGTTAAGGAAGAGACACGAATAGTGCTGCCTCGCTTTAGCTAAGCTGAGAATACGACCAAAAATCCTCGAAGAACAACACTCCTAAGTAAAGTGGAACATCACGTCCATACAAGAACAAAATTAACTAAACTCAAATGGAAGACCTTCAGGTCCTTTTTTATGAACCTCCATCAATTTGTTTTTATTATAGTATGACGTATAATGTATATGTTAAAAATGACACCTAAATTGTTAGTATCATAAATTTTTTCCTCATTGTCTCAGATAGTCATTACTATTGCTTAGGTTTCATATCACCGGCCCCAACTTATGTAGTCTGAATGAAACTGTACACAACTGGATATTCTAAACCAAAATTTTGACACATAACATATTAAAATCTCACAGCATAATTTTGTGAGCACTTGAACTCACAAATATCCACAAATAATAATAAAGACAACCTTACTTTCCTAGCAATCAAGAAGAAAAAGACATATTGCTTAACATATTTTTCAAAAAGATAGTCTATCGGGTTGTATCGAAGTTTACAGTTCACAAATTTAACTGAAATAATCCAAAAGAAAGAGTTCGTACTTCTTTATTAAAAACACAAAAAAGTTTATCAAAATAAAGAGTTATCAGTACAGTAAAAATGATCTTTAACTGCAATTAATTGCTTAATTGTCGCTAAATATGTATTTTCCGAGGCAATTAGTACTCTCTATAAACGTCCCTAAACTTTATAGCAACATTGAATTTAATTAATGTCGATAAAGGCTCTAGCACTCTTCGTTAATGTGCATATTATTACCGATAAAAATTATTTTTGTTATAGTGTATTCTGGACATTTGTTTGTTTCAAGAAAACTTGATCTCTTATTATGCCCAAAAACAAGAGACGAAGAAACATGACAAATTACTTAACTTGTGACAAAAGAAGTGGCCTAAATGTGCCTATACTAATGTTCTAGGAAAGAGTGCAATGACATACAAATTGTTTGTACCTAATAAAAAACAATCAAAATAATATATTAATTGTGGCAAGCAAGAGAGCAATTTGTTTGGTTCTTTTAATAAATTTCATCATTGGTTCTGTATTAGTTAATTATCACATATTTGTTGTTGTGTGCTATCAAATATAGAACAATCCACAAGAAATTTTCCCAAATAATATATGAAAAAACCTGCAGAAAGGGACAAAAGAGAAGATAAATTTTCAATCATCCTCACTCGAATTTTTAACAAAGTTCATAAAAAGTCACCAAAATAGCAAATAGAAATTGCAATAGATACATGAATCACTATGACTTACAGTCAAATATTAAGCTTCATGAAATATGAAAAGAAAACTTTGAGGAATAAAACACACTTCATAAGAAGTTTAATTAATGTATTTGAATTTGACTCCCCTATAGCAAAAAAATCTAAAAATAATAGTGGCAGAAATAAAAGTTTTGTTTACTAAATAACCAAATGTAATGAATTCAACCATTTCAACAACGTTATGAGTTGTAGAATGAGAGGTGCAAGAGTAGTAATGTCGCATTGCAATCAAAATTAATATTTTGTTTATTCCAAGAAAACTGTAGAAAGGGACAAAAGAGAAGATCAATTTTGAATCATCTTTGCTGAAATTTTTAACAGAGTTAAAAAAAGTCACCAAAATAAAAAAGAAAAGATATTGTCGTAATTACATGAATCACTAAGCTCCATGAAATAGGAGGATGAAAACTTTGAGGAATGAAACAAACTTCATAAGAAGCTTAATTAATGTATTTGAATTCGACTACCTGGCCTACAACAAAAAACTACCTACAAATAACTGTGGCAAGAAATCCCTCTATTTATAGACAACAAAGGGTAGTGTGAACAAATGTTTATTGTGCCTTATCGGAAATGTCACAACTCTTTAGAAAAGTTACAACCCTTCGGAAAGGTCACAACCTTTCATAAAAGTCACAATTTTTCATAAAAGTCGCAACTCTTCATAAAAGTCACAACTTTTCATAAAAGTTACAACTTTTGATATAATAGTCGCAACACTTCATAAAATTCACAACTTTTCATAAAAGTTACAACTTTTGATATAAAAGTCGCAACTCTTACTAAAAGTCACAACTTTTCATGAAAAGGGAAGGCTAGTATTGGAAATAAATAAACTAAAAGGGAATTCTGGTTTGTGGTTGCGCCACGTAGGCGGGCCTAGGGTTCTATTTTATATATATATATATATATGATTGTATATATTCTTGATAGATTGAAAACGTTTGGAGGCATTGAAGAAAAAAGAAGCATTGGAGAATTAGCTTGTTTGACTTCGTTCTTCGGTGGAGGCAAGTTATAATTTATTCTATGTGATATAAAAACTCTCAATAGTGATTGATAGTCATTGAGTAATCTGTGAATTTTTTTATGTACTTAATTAATTGTTGTGGTTTCGAGGATTACTGTGTTGTTGTGGTTTGTAATCCCAAGACCGCGAAATTCATAATCTTAGACTTGTTCTATTAAAGTGATGCCTTGAATGAAGAAGGCTTAATGAAATATTGTTAAGTAAGTGGAAAGAGATGATAAAGAATGACGAATTAACTATATTATTGGACCGGGGGCCATGAGGCGACATGATATATTTCGATCGGATGGCACGAGCCAGCACGATATTATATGATTGGATGTCATGTTTCGACATGATATTATTGGATCTGATGTCACGTTTTGACACTGTAACATTAAAGGAAAACATATTAAATTTAACTTAATGTACTCAATCTCAAAGAACCCATATCTCTTAAGAGCATGGCATGGAGACATAAGTCCTCATGTGTGTTCTTGATATTGTGACTGATTACGTACTTGCTTCATTACTATTATAATTTGTTCATGTTGTTTGTTGTTTGTCATCTACTAATTACTATAGTTGGTTTCATGCTATTACTTTATGCATATTGATTTTTATTTTGAGTTGGTCGATGATATCTACTCAGTACATGTTGCCCTAGATTGATCCCTACTTATTTTTTTGTTTTCCTTTTGTGGAGTGCAATGAGTGTACCAGCGAATTCGACTTACCCTCAACTCTAGCTAGTCTCCAATACATCATCAGGTTCTAGGGTGAGCTATTCATTCTAGCTCGTGTTGGATTCTCTCGGTAGTGGCATGATGTCCTTAGGTTTTTTAGCACAAACTACTTTATTTATTTTGGTGTTGATACTCTTATACTTAGTACTTGGGGTTTAGATGTCCTTGATGTGATGACTTTCAAGTTTTGGGAAATGATATTTAATGAAATTTAGTTGATTTGTGTTTCTTACATTTATAAGATTTGAGCTTCCACATTATGGTTGTTTCATAAATTGAATAATTAATATAAGTTGTGGTTTGTTTCATTGGTTCGCCCACCTAGAAGGTTAAGTGTGGGTGCCACTCATGACTCATTTTGGGTCACGACATAAACTTTTGTCCTTGACATGAGTGAGATTATGCATCTTAAAATACAACTCATCAATCAGTGCACCCAAAATTTTGAAACACATTTGAATCGAAGAAGAGACCGCACATGTAACCTACTGAGGATGCCCACAAGTGTTTCCTCTTCAACGTGAACTTCCATAGCCTAGATAGACAAGAAAGCTCTATCACACACTAGGTTTTTAAAGT